CAAGAACAATTAATTTTTTTTTTCTTTTTGTCCATAAAACAATGATTTCTACAAACATCACATATATTATTGTAAAAACAAATCACTTCATGATGGAATTGTGTGTTTCTCTCAATACGACATAGAAATTGTTACTAAAAGCAAACAAAAACGGTCTTCTGAAGGGGCCCCTTGGCGGTCCTAAGCGGCTGCTTAGTTTGCTTATGCATTGGGCCGGCCCTGAGAAGAGTATGCCAGACACACAGCTTCTCTGCGGCAGTCTGATAGTCTGCTTGCTACGCAGGGCCCTGCAAAAGGGCAAGCCCTTTTGAAGCAGCATCTTGCATGTTGGATTGTGGACATGGTGGAACAGGCTTATGTTTTACAGGGCCACCACCCCCCTGCGGGTGTACGGTGCCATTCTACCAGGACCATTAGTGTGTCATGGGCCACTATGAATGGGGTCACTCTGGAGACTGTTTGTGCAGCAGCCTCCTGGTCATCTCCCCAAATACTTTTGCTAGGTTCTACAGGGTCAACCTCTGGCGGTCATCCGGGATTCATAGAACCGTAGTTACAGTCGTAACGTTCGTTCCATTATGTCTGCCATAATAACAGCTTGCTTGTCGAAGAACAGCTCTACTTCTGCGTCAGTCAGCGTCATGTCAATTATACCAAAGCTCTTCTTCTGATAGAAAGTGTGAATTTTATTACAAACAGCAACAAGCTACAACTCTACAAACATTTTCCCTCTGAAGATGGAGTACAGAAAAAAAAAGAAAATTACACAATGCAAAAATATTTACTATATGATAAAAAAGACAAAATACAATGAGGTCTAAAAGTGAGACTAACTCTGCATCGGTGTCCAACAGTTTGGTTCTGCCTGATCTTGTCTCACATCGACTCTGGTTTCAGTCTTCTTCATTTCTAACAGATGCAGACATGTTCACACAGAAAGTCTCTCACACATCGTGACTCCATGACCAGGAATGACTTTCTATACGATCAGATGGTTGATGAGTGAAAAAGCTGCAGAGGTTGAACTGATCTACTCTGAGTCTGGAGGAAGGAGCCGTGTCCTCTCTTCAGCCATCAGATCCTTACCTCAGACTCTCTCTGGTCAAACTAGGATCAGTGGAGTTCGTTCATGGATCTGTTGTCTCTCTGCAGAAGAAGAAGAAAATCAGTCAGATAAACAAAGAGAGACAAAAACACAGAAATTAAGAGACAAACCTTTAACTTTGAGCAGAACCGTTTTCTCTCTTTGAAGGTTTCCCTTCAAACTGTAGACTAAACATCTGTACTCTCCACTGTCTGTCTGTGTGGGTGATCTCAGAGTCAGACTGAGGTCTCCAGTCTGAAGCAGGTCTTCATCCATCCTGGTTCTGTTTCTGTAGAACCGGCTCTGTTTCTCAGGCTGGTCAGAGTTATTCTGATAAACATGGACTGTCACGTAGTTTCCCTTTCTCCACTCCAGCTCAGCGTCTCCAGGTAGATCAGGTGTTGTTCTGAATGGCAGCAGGACAGACTCCGCCCCCTCCTCCACCTCCACCTGGCAGACTGAGAGAAGATCAAGGTGAGTTTACATGACACTGTTTTTATGCGTCTCTGTTTCCTGTGTCTTCCCTCATTCTGACATATGTTCAATGAAACAGAAAAAAAAAGCTGAGCTGACTGTAAAATACTATTGTTTCAAAACTTCAAGCTCGGCCTTTAAAGTTAAGGTGTGAAAACTTTAGGTTTTGGGAGCTGCTGTTGACTCCCTTATTGAGGAAGATTATTATTTTTGAACCATGCATGAAACTTTGTTTTTCACAGAAACGGAATGTTAAACCAGACATTTGCAGTGTTTTCTCTTTGTACATGTTGCTGATGTCGTACAGGAGGAGGCTAAAGTGCAAACGTGGTGAAGAGGATCTAAAAATCATTTATGTTGTGTGTAAGCTCACTCTGAACCTCTGGGAACCTTCAGAAATCTGTTTTCAGCTTCTTGTATAAATTAATACATTGGCAAAGATGCGTCTTCTGTAAAATGATTGATTCTGTGTATTTAGCTAAAATTGTATCTCATTTTAAATAGAATAAATATGACAATATAGAAATATTAAATGTAATCCACTGACCTTTGACCTCCAGCTGAACTTGTTTCTTCATCAGGACGTCTCCGTTCCTGCTGGACACTTTACAGGTATAGATCTCACTGTCTTCATCAGTGGGCCGTCTCAGAGTCAGACTGAGGTCTCCGGTCCTCAGTGGTTCTTCATCCATCTTGGTCCTGGTTCTGTAGATCTGGCTCTGTTCTCCAGGCTGATCAGAACCGTTCTCATACACATGGGCCTTCTTGTCTGGACTCTTTATCCACTCCACTCTCACATCTCCAGGCAGATTCTCTGTGGTTCTGCAGGGCAGCAGGACCGACTCCACATCTGAATCCACCTTAATCTGATGTTGGACTGAGAGGACAACAGAGGACAAGATGATCATTGTAGTTAGCAGCAGATCGTCTTTGAGCAGAATCACAAAAAGACCTGAAACCCCATTTCAGTTGATTCAAAGCTTATGTTGCATCACAGGCTGTGGTGGACAGTAATGGAGTACATTTACTTGAGTACTTTACCCAAGTAAAACTTTTTGAGAATCTTTATTTTTTGGCTTGGCCCTGAGGCTGGTCCAGGGGTTAAGAGCTGCTGTTTGTCAGTTCCTTCATTATTTTTGAATCATTGTGTGCCTTATGTGAGTCTTATGTCTCTCATTTCCAAATCTTGACCTCAACATTCACTTTAAGTTGATGAGGATTAATTTCTATCACTTCCATTCTCTGGAGAAGCTTATCAAAGTCCTCAACAGTGAACTGTGGTCCAACTTGTAACTCAAGAAATAAAGATAAAAAATCCTACTGTCCTTAAATTTGAGGTAATCCAGTATTGGGGGTAGAGAGTGTAAAAGTAATAAAAGCCAAGTATATTAAGTACATTTTTGAAATACAAAAATTACTGAAGGTACAACTGAAGACAAGAAAGAGAAACTCAGGCTCACTTTGTAAAGCCCAACAGGGGGTTTGTGTGCCTTATGTCTGCATCATTGCAGTTGAACAGTATTTGGCTACTGGAACTTGAAGAAATTTACAGTTTAGCCCCAAATTATTCTTCACCTCATAAACCTAGAATTAAAGGAATCCAACCTGTCCTGCTTATTTCATCATTCATTATCATAGATCTACTTTGTCTTTGAAAATGAAACTTAGACATTGACCTATGACCCTCTACTGAGTCAATCAACACTATTGATCACAGCCAAGCAACTTATAACAATAAATAACATTTAAACCTCTGACCTTTGACCTGAAGCTTCACTCGTTTAAACATTAGAATGGCTCTGTCCCTATTGAAGACTCTGCAGGTGTAGATGTTCTCGTCTCCAATTGTGGGATGTTTCAGAGTCAGACTCAGGTCTCCAGTCTTCAACAGGTTTTCATCCATCTTGGTTCTGGTTCTGTAGAAATGGATCTGTTCTCCAGGATGATGAGAACCGTTCTTATACACATGGACCTTTTTACCGTCTCCATCTGTCCACTCCACTTTAGCATCTCTGGGAAGATTCTTTGTGGCTCTGTAGGGCAGCAGGACAGACTCTGCCCCTGAATCCACCTCCACCTGTTGGACTGAGAGGACAACAGAGGACAAGATGAGCTGGACAGACAGCAGCAGTTCTGAGGACATGTCCTGGAAGCAGAACAGGTTTGTTTTTAAACTATAGTGGTTAAAACACCTTCTGTGATGTACACCAGTGTTTTCTGGTTCTCAAAGCCACTGCCTGACATGTTTTAGATGTTTCTCTGCTTCAGCACACCTGATTTTCATTTTGGCTGATTAAAAAGCTTTGGTTGAACTGCACTCATCTGCACTTCAAATGATTGTGAAGCTTTAAACTTGTCGATGTGTAATTTCTGAATTTCTCCAGCAGTCACTGGAGTGAGAGGTGAGGTTCACCCTGGACAGATCTCAGTCCATCACAGGAAACACAAAGTGTTTGTGCAAACACTCATACTTACAGACACTTTAGTTAGATCAGTTAAATATGGACCAGCTAACTTTCATAAAAATATGTTTGCTTTTTTTTTTTTTTTTTTTTTAAATATTTCCTAAATTTCCATCGATCCCTGAACGGGGGGGAGGG